TGCACGATGATGTCACTTCTGGGTGATCCTGGAAAGAGAGAGGGGCCCCCTCCCCCACCGGCAGCCAGGTAAGACCTGGCAACCATATGCTATTATAGTTGGTCTCCAGATGACCAAGATCAGTTCCTCTGGAGAAAATGGCTGCTTTGGAGGGTGGATTCTATCACATTATACCCTGCTAAGGTCCCTCCCATCCCCAAACCCCACCCTCCCTACGCTCTATCCCCAAAATCTCCAGGTATTTCCCAACCCAGAGCTGGGAACCCTACTCATACACCTTATAATACACAAGACCAGGGCCGGATTAAGGCCAACTGATGCCCCAAGCAACTCTATCCCCAAAATCTCCAGGTATTTCCCAACCCAGAGCTGGGAACCCTAGTCATACACCTTATAATACACAAGACCAGGGCTGGATAAAGGTCAACTGATGCCCCAAGCACAGCCCAACAATGGTGCTCCTCAGCCCTTTCATTGCTTAACTGACAAGTCATTAGGACTCAGCAAGTGCTGCCGGTGAAATAAGAGATTAAAAATTCAGTTTTCTTCCAGGCTATCCCCCATAACTATATCAAATATTAACTTTTATTTTATTTATTTAACACTACACAGCAGTAAGCAATATAAGCAACAAACCCCTCTGTGGTGTTCCCCTTCCCTCAGTGCCCTATGCATGTGCTTATTTTGCTCAGTGGTTAATCCAGGGCTGCACAAGACCATCTTAGTCCAGCATCCATTTTGCAACATCAGCTGGCCAGTTAGTTGCCCCTGGGGAGTTCACAAGTAGGGCATGGAATGATGGCTTCTTCCCATTTGTCCTAGCATCTGGAATCTAAAGCCATAGGGTCACTGAACATGGAGGCTCCATTTAGGTATTGCTTGATTTAAATTTGTTGTGCTTTTTTCCACTGCAACACTGGATCCTAAAGTAGCTCACAAGGGATCAGGAACTTTTAGTACGTATGCTGCCAAAGTGATTGGAAACCAATACAAATGATAAACATGGATATTCTTGATGGAGGACACAGTCTGCTGCAGCTGGGTCAAGACTGTTAGAAGGAGCTGGTTGTGCCATAGGAAAGGGCGGGGGGAGGGGGCTGCCTTTGGAATAAAGCCTTTCCTACCTAGAATGGAGAGAGAGTCAGAGAGCACATATTGATCTCATGGCCAGAGTGTTGTCACCTGTGGGCTGGGAAATACTGGTGGACCTTCTGATGCCACCTGACAGAGTGTTCGACTGGATGGGACACTGGCTTGATTCAGCATTGGCTTCTCTTATGTTCTTATGTTCCCTGAAAATAGCAGTCTGGGAAATAAAGGGACAGCAGCAGAAGAGAGAAGAGGAAGGGGAATCCAGAGGGATCTGACCTATCCATAGTGGAGGGATGACCGCCCATTTCCTGTTTCTTTTCTGATCACTTGATCAATGGCAGAAGCTTGGAGGGAGGGGGGGGTCCTCAGCTGGACCATCCCCAGGTACGCCAGAAGGGTGCCACAACTACTTTGGCTAGTAAGCCACTGATAGAGCTGAATCTGTCTGATACTTTTTGCAATGCTATCTAAGCAGTCTGTCATCACCAACACTATCTGTCAGTGAAATCCATAAGTTAATTATGAATCACAGAATCATAGAGTTGGAAGGAACCTCCAGGGTCATCTGGTCCAACCACCTGCACAAGGCAGGAAATTCACAAATACCTCCCCTCCACGCATACCCAGTGACCACTGATCCATGCCCAGAAGATGGCAAAAAAACTTCCAGGATCTCCAGCCAAACTGGCCTGGAGAAAAATTGCCTCCTGACCCCAAAGTGGCGTTCAGCATTTCCCCAGGCATGTAAGAAAGGGCCACGAGAACTAAGCACTGATGCAACCCTTCCTGCCCTCCCTCTCATGATCTGCCTTAATTCATAAAATCAGCATTGCTGTCAGATGGCCATCTAGCCTCATGTGAAGTTCCTCTTGCTGGTCTGGAACACACCATCAATTAGCTTCATTGGTTGGCATAGAGTTCCAGTTCCAGCATTATAAGAGAGGGCACACACAAAAATTCCTCTGCATCTACTTCTTCAGGCTGTTTATAATGTTATAACTGTTTACCATGCCCCTCCCCCTCATCATTTTCCACTTAAAAACGAATATGTCTCAAACTTTTCTTCTCATACATACTGAGAGATGGAGGAAACTGGTCCAACCACTTGGGGGCATACCAGAGTTGCCAGCTCTGAGTTGGGAAACCCCTGGAGATTTGGGGGGTGGAGCCTGGGAAGGGCGGAGTTTGGGGAGGGGAGGGGCTTCAGTGGGGAATGATGCCGTAGAGTCCACCTTCAAAGGGGCCATTTTCCCCAGGTGAAACTGATCTCTATCTCCCGGAGAAGAGTTGTAATTGCAGATCTCCAGCCACCACCTGGTGTCTGGAAGCACTAGGGCACAACCAAGTACAAATATTTAGCAAGAATTCCTTCTGTGGAAATTCTGAAGAAATACCATAAAATGAGGCATGAAAAGAATTTCCCTCCCCACTGTCTGAGCTGAGATTCTGAAGTTTACCACTGCTTAGCATTAAGGTCTCATTTAGCCATCATCCATTTAGCAATGGATAGACTTAATCCTCCACAAATTTGTCTAATAAAAGCCGTTTAAATACGACCTCAGAACATTTAGGCGCAAAGGCTATTAACCATCAGCAGACCCATTCCCCCAAGTCTCCCGTCAAATCCTTTTTAAAGCAATTAATGCTAGTGGCCATCATTTAACACATTTTGCGGCAGTGACTTTTATTTCAGTTTTTCTGTCTGAAGTTAGTATAAAAAGCTCATATGATATACGTGCATGCATGAATCAGCGCTTCCCCCGCCTTCAAGTTGCATCCAATTTATGGCAAGACCCCGTAGGTTTTTCAAGGCAAGAGACATTCAGAGGTGGTTTGCCATTGCCTGCCTCTGCATAGCAACCCTGGACTTCTGTGATAGTCTCCCATCCAAGAACTAACCAGGGCTGATCTGCTTAGGTTCTGAGATCTGATGAGATTGGGCTACCCTGGGCCATTAAGGTTAGGGCAATCAGCTCTTACTTATACTGTATTGATGAGATTGGGCTACCCTGGGCCATTAAGGTTAGGGCAATCAGCTCTTACTTATACTGTATCAGTGGCTATTAGCCACAAGGGATAGGAACTCTCAGTCTGGGGCGAGTGATGCACTATATTCTTGGTGTTTGGGGGGGGGGCAACAGTGGGAGGGCTTCTAGTGTCCTGGCCCCACTGCTGGACCTCTTGATGGCACCTGGTATTTTTGGCCACTGTGTGACGGAGTGTTGGACTGGATGGGCCACTGGCCTGATCCAACATTGGCTTCTTTTATGTTCTTATGTTTGCTTCTGATCAAGACTTAGGCCATACATGTGCAGAACTTTCTATTGGTACAGAAAAGCAGACTGTTTTCCACTGGTAAGCAAGAATCATACCTTATTCCATCCTTTCCCAGCTCAACACTTTTGAATCATGAGAAGAATCATATCGGTGTTGCTTATCCTACTGAGCGGTGAAATTCGGGAAAGCTTAGGGTGCTTCTGTGACCATTACCCATGGAGTCCCTGGTCCAGCTGTTCTAAGACGTGCAATTATGGAACTCAAAGCAGATCGAGGTTAGTGGGATCCTACTTACCTGTCTCTACAGACGTTTATCTTGAAGACAATTAGGGGACATTTTGGCTTGGTTGCAGACAAATTCAAATGTATGTACCAGGTAGACTAGGAAAAGATCTGCATATTTTTGTAATTTGTCGGCAGCCAAAGGGGAGGGGAGGTTTGCATGTGTGAAGATTATAAAGAAAAACTCCGCGTTGGTTGCCACTGCCAAGGCAACCTGGGCTGGTCTTCTGTTGGGCCTGGGCAGAGGCTTTTCTAGCAGGAGAGGAAGAGCCAGCATGTTTGACTTCTAATTGCGGTGGGGCCATTACATTCAGTTCAGATTCCCCACTACATGCATCGCCCCGTATTCTGATATCCCTTCTCTACAGGGCTACTACTGATCCATTTTAACTGTGGATGTTTTTAACTAATATTGTAAGCTGCCTTGAACTGAGAGGAAAGGCGGGGTAATAAATGTTTTAAAAAATAAATAAATGATATTCGTTGGACAGAAGAATTTCCGTCTGTGGAGCACAAACTTCTTCCCTTCCCTTCCAATGCTGCCCCAAAATGCCTCCCTGAAATACTGTTTCCGAGAACAGCATTTCAAGAGGCATTTTGAGATGTGCCCAGAGGAGGAGTTAAGAAAGTTGCACTCTGCAAACAGAAGAAGAAGAAGAAGAGATTGGATTTATACAGAAATGTGTCCACAGCAGGGTTGCCAGTTCTGGGATGGGAAATACCAGGAGGCTTTGAGGGTGGAGCCTGAGGAGGGCGGGGTTTGGGGAGGGGAGGGACTTCAGTGGAGGATTAGTGTTGCCAAGTGTAAATTCCTCCAGAGCGGGGGAGTCCTGTCCGGCATCTGGAAGTGACGTGACGATGCCAGGAAGTGACGTGACGACGCCAGGCACGCTGGGGGCAGGGCCACGACCATCCGAGGGAAAACCATAGAGCGTGCTCACGTGGTCGCGTCACTTCTGGGTGATGCACACATCGTGGTGGAGTTCCCCCCGGGGCCCGATCCACCAGCGGCGGGGAACAGGCATCTGGGGCGGTGGTTTCCTGGGGGGACTTGGCAAGCCTAGATATGATGCCAGAGAGTCTACCTTCCAAAGCAGCCATTTTCTCCAGAGGAACTGATCTCTGTCACCTGGAGATCAGTTGTAATAGCGGGAGGTTAAAACAATAACGAAACCAACTGTGATGTTATATTCTAATCCATGAATTAACACACAACAGAAAGAATCTGTTTCATTGAAGTGGGAAGAATGTTCACGGATTAGAATTGTTGATGTGTAAACGAATGGTATTCATGCAGCACACTTAGAAAAAGCTGTTATATGCAATTCCCGTTGTGTGTATGCGTATATTTTTATAATGTGATGAAGAAACACGATTCACTACAGAATAGTAGTCTAAATATATTTTTCATAATATAACATCACGGTTGTTTTCGTTATTGTTTGCATCCTTCCCGTGATCTCTCTGTTGTTTCTACATACTACCTGGAGGTTGGCAACACTAGTCCACAGAAATGCAGCATTGGCACCACTTCTATGTTTTTCTTCCCTTGCCATTTGGGGCAATGAAATGGAATGTTTTGTATCAATCTTCATAGGGAAATACTTTAAAAATACTAACATCAGGATCTTCCCTTTGCAGAAGCAGGGACTTCAATGACTATTATTTCAAGCATTCTTGTGACACTTTGTGTACCTGGAGTGAATCTCGGGCATGTAACCAGCAGGCGTGCCCTATCAACTGCCAGCTCAGTGACTGGGAGCCCTGGTCAGAGTGCGATCCATGTGTCAAAAAACAAGTAAGCAAAGGTATCACACGGTATATGTAAGGAGGGAATCAGGGCCTTCAGATAACAGAATATAACTTCTAAGAAGCCTGAATTAGGAGATTAGTTAAACAGAGGACTGAGGACATAAAAGGCCAAACGGATATTGCTAGCCTACCAAATGTGTATGTGTGGTCAAACTTTCAATATATTGTGAAGCCGGCAGCTTATCTAACATCTTTAGAAATAGATGGATTCAGAAGGGTGTTTACCCTGGCAAGGTGTTTGGTCCTCCCTCCTGCAGTACTGGAAAGTAGATATGACAAAACTCCCTACCTGGAAAGGCTCTGTCCCTATCTGCTATGAGAGGTTGAAACCATAGAGAACATGTTCTTCAGCTGCCCAGATTATAAGGAAGCACATAATGAGATTATTACTCCATTGTTAGGCAAAATCTCTGGTCTCACTGAAAAAGTTAGACGATTATCTTCTATCTGATAAGATTGCCAAGATTACTCATCAAGTAGCTAGATTCCGTCTGGTGATATATAGGTCTTGGAAACTGTAGTGTAACTAGAGTTTAGTTTTAAATTGTTTTATTTGGTCTACTGTATGCCTGGATTTTTAAGTGTAAATGTTTTATATGATTGGTCAAGGGACCGTAATAAAGAACGAACGAACAAATTAAGATAACAGATTGGGTTTTCCCCAAAGGCAAATCAGTTTTCTGTAGAGAAGTCAGTTCAGTTAATGTGCAAGTATAAGCGTAACTCTGGGCAAGTATAACTTTGTATTATATAGTTTATACTGCTGAATCATAAGAGAGAATAGGGAGAAGTGGCAAACTTTCCACAGTCATTCATGCGACGGTCACCTCCACGGCATGTAAGACAGAGTTACTCCTCCAGGCATTCTTGTAAATTTGGTGGACTCTACCATTAATCCTTGGTGGACTCTACCATCAGTTTTTATGCCAAAGGCATTCGTTTGCTCTGTGTTGAGATTTTAATTGGATTGTATTGAAATTATGGTTTTGTTATTGTTATTGTATTTGTTATGTTGTTAGCTACTTCGAGTCCCATTCTTGGGGAGAGGCAGGGTAAAAATATAATGAAAATATAAATAGAACTCTGGCTTGGGAAATTGCTTGTAGGGTTGCCATTCCCCAGTCGGGGGTGGGGGATGGCAGGTTTTGCGGGCTTCTGCCCTCTGCAGACCAGTTGGCTGGTGGGAAAAAATTCCTCCCAACAGCAGTGTCATGCAATGTGCCCATGTCACCCAGAAATGACATGGGCATGGCGGGGGGGGGTGACACTCTGGGGTTTAGGCAAAACTCTATCGTTTGAGAGTGATTTTACCATAGCATAGAGGTTTGCCCAAAACACAGAGCATCGCCCTCAATGTGCCTACGTCACTTCCAGATGATGTAGGCACGGCACGCGACGCCATTGCCAGTGATGTCGGCACATCAGGGGTGATGCTTCTGGCTCCAGGAACATCCCCCCCCCCATCCCCTGCTGGCGCCTCTGACAGACCTGGCAACCCTAATTCCTGGGTATTTGGGGCTGGAGCCAGGGGAAGGTGGGGTTTAGGGAGGGGAAGGACCTCAGTGTGGGGATTGCCATAGAACCTGTCCTCTGAAGCTGCCATTTCAGAAGCCTGAAGTTCTCTTGAAATTACAACTGATCTCCAGGTTATGGAGATCAGTTCCCCTGGAAGAAATGGCAGCTATCAGGGGATGGATTCTGTGGCATCAAAGCCCTCTGAGGTCCCTCCCCTCCCCCAAACCCCACCCTCCCCAGGCTCCATCCTCAAATCTCCAGGAATTTCCCAACCCAGAGTTGGCAACCCTACTCATTACAGCTCCGGTGAGCAGATCGGAACTGTGTAGTTTGCTTGTGATTTTGGAGGTTGGATGCACAATTTGAAGAGTTTTAACAAGATGAATGGGTGTCAAGAAAGCAGACGACTTTCGATAATGCCATAGAGCCCACCCTCTGGAGCTGCCATTTTCTCCGAGGGAATGGATCATTGTTGTCTGGTGATCAAGTGTAATTTTGGGAGAGCTCCAGGTCCCACCTGGATTTTGGTAACCCTACAAGAAACCCATGGCCAGGACCCAGGATACTCATGTATTTTTACCTGTTTCAGTTTCGTGTGAGGTCGCTGCTGCGCCCATCTCAGTTTGGGGGCCAAGCCTGTACCGAACAGATGCAAGATTTCCGGAAGTGCTTCCCTACAAAATTATGTAACATAGAGGAAGTTAATTGTGAGAATAAATTCCAGTGTGAAAATGGTAATTTCTGCTTTATTATCTCTATAAGAGAGCAATTGCTTCTAATGCATTTTGTAGCCTGCAGTGTGCAAGTTTATCTTCACTGGCTCCTATCCTCCATGCAGTTCTTAGCTTGTTGTAGGCATGTGGTGAATAATCAATAATGATGATAAAGATTTTTTTTATGTCTCTATAAAATCTGCCCAAGCTGATGCATGTTTCCTCAGAAGTCAGTAGGGTTGCGCAATGTTCCCTCTAAGCTGTGGAATCTTGTGAGCAAAAATTCTACTTTGTGAGCTACTGGCATTAAAGTTGTGAGCAAGCATTTGGCTACTGCATAAATTAGTGTGCTCTGGAGCCATGCTTCCTGAGCGAAGGCAAAAATGTATGAGCTGGAGGCTAAAAAACTGTGAGCTAGCTCACACTAACTCAGCTTAGAGGGAACACTGGTTGCCAGATCTGGGTTGGGAAATTCCTGGAGATTTAGGGGGGTGGAGCCTGGTTTGGACAAGAGGGGACCTTGGAGGAGTATAATGCCATAGAGTCTACCCTCCAAAGAAGCTATTTTTCTTTCTTTTTTATTTTTAAATGTTTATTAAGGTCAAGTATAACTTATAACATGTACAATAACTGCAAAACAGTATACAAAAGTCCTGAGAATCTAAAATTACAAACCAGCCAGTTAATCACCCACAAAGTTTTCAACATATATCAACAGTTATAACATACTAACATAATAATTTAATATCAGATCCGTTCCCATATATAAAAACGACTTTTGAACTGAGCTCTGTAGTCTGGGAATCAGACGTCATTCTGGGAGATCTCCAGGCCCCATCTGGAAGTTGGCAACCTTAGAAATCAGACTCACTGAATTCAGTGAGCTTTACTTCAAGGAAAGGCACATATACTTTAGCCCAGTTGTGAGTGCACCCATACATTCTTGGATATTGCACAATTGTTGTGCTGCAGAAATAATTCACAATGGGATTTTCCTATTTGGACAAGACAACCCAGTTGCGAAAGATTGCTATAGGGCAGTGATAGTACAATATCCAATAATACAATACCCAACAAAGTTGTGGGTGAATCATGTGCCAAAACTCACTATGGGTAACAGTGTTTTTAAATGGCTCACAATATATGCATTCATTTATTCATTCAGGAAATGTGTATACTGCCTCTCCTGACTTGCTTCAGGTAGCTCACAACAATGAAATAAAACCAATCAATCCAATAAACAATTCACTAAGACAAATCACATCATAAAATCAGCAAATAAAACAGCCAACCCAGTAGAATAAATAAATAAAAACAGATCAATTAAAACCTGCCAATGAAAACAAGCCCAGCCAGTTAAAAGAACCCAGGCATAAAAGTGCATAAACAAATAGAGCAGTCTAAAATGACATTAATACATCAGGCCTCCAGCTGCAGTAGACCATAAAACAATAAAAAAGGACTAGCCCGAAATCTGGGTAAAGAAAAATGTTTCATCCTGGGGCCTAAAAGAAAATAAAGCGGGTGCCAGGTGAGCCTTGAAGTAGGGTTGCCAGACCCCCAGCAGGAGTGGGGGACCCCTCCAGCTTTTGGGAAATCCCACCCCCCAAATGGCCCAAAAGGCGATGTAATGACATCACCCAGAAGCTATGTCATCACATCGCCCACGTCGCATGGCAGCACTCTAGTTTTGGGGCAAAATTCTATGGTAAAATAGCCTAGAAACCATAGAGTTTTGCTGAAAAACTAGAGCATCACTGCCCATGGCAACGACATGATGATGTCACTTCCACATTAGAATAAAATTAAAAGTAGTAATAGACCTTGGCTGATCTCATCTTTAGTGTATGCATGATGCTGCTACATTTTGATCAATTTCCCACAAGCTGCTGCTCCACCTTTGCTCTTCCCTTTCCCCCGATTATATGTGTCAATTTCCTATTATTTGGTGTGCGGCTGCATTTTGCCCCGCAGCTTCGCCTGATTTCCCCCGCATCTACTTGATTCTGTTTTCTGAGGATCAGGTAGACGCAGGGGAAATCAGGCGAAGCTGCGGGGCAAAATGCAGCCGCACACCAAATAATAGGAAATTGACACATATAATCGGGGGAAAGGGAAGAGCAAGGGCGGAGCAGCGGCTTGTGGGAAATCGGTCCCTGTCTCTAAAAATACAATAAGAGGTCTTGACTTAGTAGAATGGGTTTTTTTAAAGGATTATGACTGAGGCTTCCATTACTGGCAAAAGAGGTCATGTACTGTTTGGAAGAGTCTGTTCCTCTGTCTCCAGGCAGCTGCTATTCCCAGCTGGGGGATAAGGCAGGCACTGAAACTATCCAGAACCACTTTCAATCTTCATTGCGTAGTGGTTGTTTTTCCTTCATTGCCCTTTCATTTCAGAGTCCCCCTTTGCTGCTTTTACAGCCAAAACGTTTCCTGTGCCAGATTTATGTAATACCCTTCCTCACCCGGCTGCATTCCTTCAATTAGCCACAAATGTGTTTTGAATAATGCCATGGAGACCACAGATTCAGAGCATGTCTGAAACACTTCGTGCTGCTCTTCCTTCTTCAAAACAGGACGCTGCATTGCCAGAAAACTCGAATGTAACGGAGAAAATGATTGTGGAGACAATTCCGACGAACGGAATTGCCGGAGGATAAAGCCCGTGTGCAACAGACAAGCCGAGAGCCTGCCCAGCATTCAGCTCGCAGGCCTTGGGTACTTTTATATTCCATTTCCCTTGGAGTTCTCAGGATTAGCTACGTAATGGTAGTTCACCACCTCCCCAGGAGGGATAGTACGTTGAAGCTTTGTTAAATAATTACTGAGGATTGCTGTACAGAGCCAGCTGGTGCCAGCTCAATACATGTTGTTACCTTTGGCATCACCTCTGGTACCACCTCTGTCTCCCCCTCTCTCTCAGGAGCCTGAGCTGCTTGTCCTTCTTGCACAGTCCTCCTTCAAAACCACGCAGCATGGTAGGGGTGCCCTCACAGACTTCCCAAACGTTCACAAGATTCTTTCTTCTCATGAGAGTCTGGCCATCGCTTTGGCTCCATGGCAGCCCTGCTAATTGCCATGGTGGGTTAGGCAACCAAAAGGATGGTCAGAACTTCATGGGGGGAACGAGACATTGTGGGACCCCACAGCACATGTGTTGTTTGTGGTGCTGTCTTGAAAGAGGATAAGGTGCCCCAGATCTGGGACAAAAGGGGAGGAGGAGAAGATGGGCGGGTGGGACAGGAGGTTGGTATCTCATCAGATGCAACAGCGAGGGCCACCCCCAGCAAATTCACCACTTGAGACTTGCACTTGATGAGATGTTGGTCCAAGAGTCAGGTTTCTCCATGAGTTTCTCCTTATTCAAGTTCCCCCACAGCCCCACGTCAGCTATAGGGGAACTTATTTCACCCGAGTGCCACGAAGTCCAATTCAGATCAGTACCATGGATAGGGAAGAAAAGTCCTAAGCCTCCCCTTGTGCCGGTGTCCCAACCTAAAACAGCCCCTAGAAAGGCAGTTTTTTTAAAATTGTCCCCTCTGGGGGGTTCTGCACTTGTATTCAAGGCATGCACAGCCTGGGGTAAATTATTGCAGCAATATTTATATGGGGAAAGGTCAATACCACCAAAATCAGGTACAGGCCAGGGAAACCTACCTACCATTTCTGTTTTGTTCTTTATCTGTAACCTGCCTTCTAGATATCACCTAATGGCTGGAGAAACCCGAGGGGAAGTGCTGGATTATTCCTTCAATGGCGGGACCTGTGTCGTGGTGAAGAGTGAAAGGACTAGATTTCGTGTCCCTGCAAACCTGGAGGCTGTCAGTTTTGAGGTAACTGATGAGGTCTATAGGAACCATACTGGCCAGTGAGCCAATTCGGAGATGACTTGGAATCAACAGGTAACATGCCAAAAGTGTGGCCCCAAGTTCATTGCCAGCTGGTGGCAGTTCCGGACTGTCTTTTTTCCAGTTAACTTGGCAGTGGTTTATTTTTCTTGACCAGGAACAAAAATGTAGCGGGCCCACACACACCAACACAAAATCACTGTGTTTTTCCATGCAGCTGTTTTGGGTGGTTCATGAGGTACAACAGGGGGATTGGAGAAGGATCACAATGGAAGGGAAATCCCACTCCTCTGCTAGTTGTCCTTCTTTGGTTCTGCCTCTACTTCCCTCACCCATCTCTCTCGGCATCCCCTCACCCCTGCCTCCCATCTGTGGCTTGGCTTCCCCTCCTTACTTCTGGCTCCTCCTCCTCCAAGCTCAAGCTCCGGTTCGCCTCCCACTCGTTTCCTCTGTGGCCATTTTTGCTCTGTATTCACTTGATTTCTCCTGTGGGCCTCTGCTTGAACCAGTAAACAACATGTTGTGCTCCTCAACTACTGATATTTGCAGACAGGGCCTGGACAGAAGAGCATCTTCCCCGTTAATTAAATCCCCACTGATGAGGGTTATCACAACACATTGAGGTACCTTTCCTGGACATGTATCTATTCAGTTTCCAAGAAGTGTTTCCTGGTCTTCTCCCCTTCTAAGCTCAAAATCTAAAGTAAAAAGAACATGAGCACCTCAGGCTTAGAGAGAGCATTGGATCCTAGTCTGACATTCCAGCCCCTGCACCACACTGACTGAAAGCAATGTGGGATAATTAACCATTTAAACCATCAAAAACCATCACTCCTTGTTAGAAGGAAGGACAACGTTTTAATGTTTGATTTCTCATTCCTTAATTCCTGCATTTCTAGATTTTATTTTGCTTCATTTAGAGACTGCTTTTCTTGGCTGAGCCATAAGAACAATGTAATAAAAATGACATGCATTAACATTAATGCATTAAGATGTCCAAACTGAATGGGCTATGAAAATAAACATGTGCTCTTAATTCTCAGTTCCAGCAATTAAATGACCTCCCCAATTGAACTATTAAAGCTTTTTGTTGATGGCTGTATGAATTAAACCGAATGAAAGCCTGCAGCCCTCAGTCTTTTGTCAGCGCAGCAAGCAATCAACAGGAATTCAGCTTTTAACCTGGAGGCCATTCTCACCCATACTCTGACACTTGAAGATGGAGTTGTACATAGGGTTCCCAACCTCTAGGTGTGGCCTGGAGTTCTTCTGGTATTACAACTTATCTGCAGGCTACAGAGATGTGCCTCTGGAGAAAATATTGGGTGTAGTAAATAAGAAGCTGGAGACCGACTGGTGATGAAGGTGCATAGAAAGTTTAAATAGATATAATGGTGAATATATATACACAGAGATATGCAGGCTATCATACAGCATACCATGCCTTAGTTTGAGAGACTAAGTCCCCACCCAGCTTATCAAGCTGATAGCTAATATACTAAACCTAGCCAATCACTAACAAGGTGAATTAATTACCAACTCTAACAATGCCTGATAGAGAACACCTGCTAGTATAACACCTGGCTGTAATTACTTAATCACTAGCATGACAGCTAGAACTGTCAAATAGATCAAACTGATCTAGTAACTGCTTGCTACCTCTATCACCTAGACAATGGCATCTTTGGTATACTATAGAGTCTGGGAGAAACTGAAATCCCTTTCCAGCCGCCAACCCCAGTTCTCCAGGAATTTCCCAAGTTCGAGTCATGCAGCCCTAGTGGTGCATTCAGAAAGATTCCACAGTACTTTGCCTGCTGTTTCAGAATGCATGTACAAACTGTATGTTTGCTTTTATATGCAAAAATGTCCTATCAGTTCAGAGAGAAGTATTTTGAACCTAGCCTTCTCCCTGGCATAGTACTATACATGTGTATGGATTTTTTAAATGACCTGGATAGCCTAGGAGATCTAAGCAGGGTTGGTGCTGGGTAGTATTTGGAAGGGAGACCATTAAGGAATATCAAGGTCATGATGTAGGGGCAGGCAATGGCAAACCACCTCTGAATGTCTTTTGCCTTGAAAACCTACAAGGTTGCCGTAAGTCGGCTATAAGTATGACAGCTGTGACTTGATGGCAAAAAAGGAGCATTCAAATGTACCCCCCGCTTGGTCTCTAAAACAGGGCAGCCCTAAGAGAGCTATACGTTTTTCTTTTACTTCATTTAACATCTTCCCTTCTCGATGACACTCAAGGTGGATTTTACAAAATTAAAAGACAACACAGTAAAGGCTTGTATAACACATATAATAAACAATTTTATAAAATGGGATTTCACAATGAGAGAACAATGAAGTAAAGTTAGTATAATACCACCAATGAACAATGCAGAAGGGGGGGAGATTCATGAAAAATTTCAGAGATGAATAAAACTACGACCTTATTCTTTTTATAAAAAGTGCCTTTCTGCACAACTGCGCTTATATCGTATCCCCATTCCAAAAAAAAACCCATGCCTGCTATAAAAATGTCCTCCAGGACATTTCTTAATATGCATATTGGATGTAGGTATTCAGACTGTAGGAGCCCAGTTTCTAAGAAGAAAAGCTTTACAACATTAATTATTTCAGAAGGTACTAACCCTTGCTCACATGTACAGGATGTGCCCAAGATGAGTCAAGAAGAGGTCAGGTTATGCTCGCTTTCTCATTAGGGAAGATTTTGAGTTTCTCATCACTGCTTTTTAGCCCCAAATCCCCCCCCCCCTTTTTTTGTTTCTCCTTTGTGCAAATTGAACCTATAATTCTTTATTTTCCTGTCACTTTGTGTTTGCTTGCCCTGTATTTTTTCCCCATCAAAACAATGATTTTTTTTCAACGTGTGTCAATAAATCACCATTTTACATACACTGCCCATATAAATTACGTCCATTACATGTGTAAACTGCAGAGGAAAGCTGTACCTGTGTACACAACATGAACAAATTTACAAGGAGCAATAAGTGAAGAACTTGAATCAGTTGCCAAAAAATGCATAAAATCAGTTGACAAAAGAAACATCAGAGGAAACATTCAGTCATCTGTGATCCTTGAATCAAGGCCACGTCAAAATAGTCCCATGAGCAAGTTCTCCTTTGGTCCAATATGGAGGCACTCCCGAGTCCTGACTGATTTGTGACAGGGAAAAAGATGGACAGACAAATCAGAGCCAAGTGTTTAGAAACCTGAGTTCATTCATGAGTTCACCCACAGCTTCATAGCTTGGACTGAGGAGTCAAATTAGATGTGGTTTGCCTGCATCACTTATACAGTGGGAGGGATGGTCTGGTTTTTAAAGCTAAGGGACACAAAACTGAGGGTGCTTTCTTTTAAACCAGTGCCCCCCCCCACTTGTCTTTAACTCAAGAACACCTCCTCAACTGGAATTTGACATTATGGAGCTACACATTATGTTTTTTTTCCCTAACAGATCATGTCTGAGTTCTTGAAATTGCTCTGCAGCCACACAGCAGCTGTGGAGAACAGCATTTAAAAGGGCCACATGGGCCTGATTCAGTTTGGGAGTGTGGCATAAGGGGGGGGCTCCTTCCTTCCTCCAGACCAGTGTTGATTTCCTCAAGCAGAAATGGTCTCAGAGGGACTTATTTGCCCCATGCTTGTGGGGTAGGGGGTAAATTGTATTGCGATGGAGGGAAGAATTCTTGTGGTGGGGGTGGCTAGCCCCCAGGAAATTCATCACAAGCGATAACAATTAATAGGTGGCCCATTAAAATTGTGGTCTTCAACCCGTGGGTTGGAGCACTCAGGGTCATGAAGCCAGTTTGGTGTAGTGGTTAAGTGCGTGGACTCTGATCCGGGAGAACCGGGTTTGATTCCCCACTCCTCCACTTGCACCTGGCTGGATGACCTTGGGCAAGCCGCAGTTCTGATAAGAGCTGTTCTTGAAAAAGAGCAGTTTCTGTCAAGAGCTCTCTCAGCCCCACCCACCTCACAGGGTGTCTGTTGTGGGGAAGGGAAGGGGAAGGAGTTTGTAAGCCACTCTGAGACTCCTTTGGGTGGTGAAGGGCGGGGTATAAATCCAATCTCTTCTCTTCTTCTTCTTCTTCCTGCTGGGTTGCAGTACAGCTGTCCATTTTGCTGCCTTTGAAGAGGTTATGCTGCTTAGAGAGCAAGAGGAACATGCCTTCTGCCTCTCTTTCAGGCCCATAGTTACAGTGGGGCATCTTGGGGTCCGCCCCCCCCAACTTACTACCAAGCCTCCCCAACTTCCCATCCAGCCCAGCCCCCCCCCACTTCCAATTTTTTAAAAAATTTTGTGGTGATCCCTTGGGGGGTATGCAGGGTGCCCACTGCATTACTTAAAGCCCCCCCCAACTAAAAAATCCTGGTACGGGCCTGCTCTCTTTGCGTGCATTCTGAGAGGGGTGGCAGGATGTAGAGGTGAGATCACTCTGTGGTGGAGAGGATTCCTCCATGGCTCTGACCCCTTACCTTGTCCCTCCTTGTTGTACATCTCTGAGTGCTTGGCTTGTGTTTCCTATCTCCACTTCTTTCGGTCTGCTGCTCATGGTCCTGGTCTTGACACCAGTGATGTAATAACTCAAGCCCCTCCTCCTCCTGTTACAACTTTCATATGACTTCCTGTCATGTGGTTGCATGACAGTGGGTCCCAAGTCCAGAAGAATTAGCATTTCATTACAGCATATACCAAGGCCATTTTTTTCCTGACCACCTTGTAAGCACAACATGTTAAGGATTAAAAGGATGAACTAAAATGAACTGAACTCTAGTGCCTCTAATTTTGGCAATAAATTACTGCATAGTTTTTGAACTGTGTTCCAAGGAACCTTGAAGTTCCACAGACACTTATCAAGTTCCTCAGAGTGAAAAAGGACACACGTCTACAGTTACCCAATTTTGTTGATTCATCACCAATATGCAGTTACAGTTAAGTGCTTGATCACAATTGCTATTCAAGCAGGGCAACCATGTGGTCAACAGTGTGCTAGGACATTGACCTATGTACCCTAGAACACTGGTCAGAATCCTCTACAACAACCTGAGATCCTTTTGACAAATGCACAAAGGATTCTTCAGCAAGCAATTGATTTGAAGAAGGACCTTTGAAGATAGGGATTTTTGTAAACCACTGGATTTAGGATGATGTCTGGTAATGATTTCACAAGGAACCAGAGATATTTTCTTTATTTAGAATGTTCAGAACATAAGAGAAAATAAGTGAAGCCATGTTGGATCAGGCCAATGGCCCACCCAGTCCAGTATTCTGTGTCACACACTGGCCAAAACCCAGGTTCTGTCAGGAGGTCCGTCAGCAGAGCCGGAACTCCTGAAGCCCTCCGACTGTGGCTCCCCCAAACACCAAGAATACAGAGCACTGCTGCTCCAGACATAGTGTTCCATCTATACTTGTGGCCAATAGCCACTGATGGCCCACTGCTCCATATGTTTATCCAATCCCCTCTTGATGTTATTAGTTTGATGGGAACCAGTACATAAATTAGCCAATGAAAAAACAGGATAACTTGAGAACATAAGAAAAGCCAATGTTGGATCAGGCCAATGGCCCATCCAGTCCAACACTCTGTCACACAGTGGCCAAAAATACCAGGTGCCATCAGGAGGTCCAGCAGTGGGGCCAGGATACTAGAAGCAAATAGCAATGGACAAAATGTGGTGACGAAAGGAATGTGGGGAACTTCCTGGACAAAAGCCATGTGGGAAACAGACCATAATCAGGCAAGGAATTGGCTGAGATGAAGTAGAGTAATGGGTCTAACCCTAAATTTCCTTCTGAAAGGAAAACATGAATGATCTTGAGGTGATTTTTTTTGGCACGTCATTTGCCTTGTTCAAATATATTCAAGAGTAGAATTGGCTTATCTTTTTCTCATGGAGACAAATTTTCATTTTGTTTGGGAACAAAGTTTGAGTCCAGTGGTATCTGTAAGACCAACAAAGTTTAATTTCCCATACATGATTATCCTATTCTGTTTTGTTGCCAGGTAAAAAATGAAGAAAATGATTTGAAAACACATTACTATAGTGACCTAAAACCCTTTGCACATAGTCAGGCAGATAGCACGTCTTCCAACAGAAAGGGCAGAAAGACTTCTGGAATCCCATATTTTTGGGGATCAATAGAGAACAAAGAATCTACATCATCTTCTGCCTTCCGTGAAGCAATCAAAGCATCCCATAAAATGGTAAGGTTGTGTAGCCCTCTGGGTAGAATATATCCTTTAAATATATTATTGGAAGGATCTGAATGGTGGGCAATGAAAGTAAGTGTGATTGTGTTACAAACTGGCTTGGCTTGGAGGAGTTCAGAGCTAGAAACTAGTAGCTACAATAGGAGGAGCCATTGAGTACAATAATGATGTGGGGATGTTCCTCGAAGCAGTGCTGTGTGGAACATCTCCATGTGAGGTATTCACAGCATTGCCATTTTTAATGCATATAATCAGGGGTCATTTTGTAGAAAAAGAGGTGCAGGAGCTTATTAGCATAACTCACTAGCATAGCTTATTTGCATGTGCCACTTCCCCTGACATCACCGGAAGTGTGTCAGAAGGCACCAGCCACTGCTCAGGCTCCACTGGACTGTTTTGGATTGCTAGCTATGGGGGAGGGGGAAGCGTGCAGATCTGCCTCCACAGAGGAGGGAGAGCTTGTTCCTGAATAAACCGTGGCCTTAAAGGTGCCACTGGACTGTTTTGGATTGCTGGGGGGGGGCTCTGCAACTTACCTGGTTGCTTCTTGCTCCTTGTGGCCAGGGGCTGCTGGGAGCAGGGGGCGGGGCTTGTTGCATGTGCCCGCTTCCTGGGCTCTACTGCCAGAGCTCCGCTCCTGTGTGCTCCTGCAGGAAATGACCCCTGCATATAATACACAACACAGTGAGATACATAGTGAAATTGTAGCCAGCAAAACAATGGCATACAACGCCATTGAGTCTACCTTCCAAAGCGGCCATTTTCTCCAAGGGAACTGATCTCGGTCACCTGGAGATCAGTTGTAATCCCAGGAGATCTCCAGCTACCACCTGGAGGTTGGCATGCCTTGTTGTGACTCAGCAGGCATTAGAAGGGCACTGATTCGCCCTGTGTTGGACAGACTACACTGGTTTCATTGGTGCCACTTTCATGGACAGTTGTAACTTCTTTTATAGTAAAAATGACAGTGCTGTAATGAAACAGCTTTATAGGAGGCAGTCTCTATATAAAGAATTATTGTATCGCAAAGCAGACTTAAGGAGCTCTTTAAACCAGCAGCCGTCTTGGCTGAGAGCATAAAAGATAGTAAAAATACAACAATTAAATTAACTAATTCAATACACTAAAGAAAGTGAAATGGCGTTGAGACAGCCAATTGTTTTATTGGTTTTATCGCTTTTAGTATTTTATGGATCTTGTATTGTAAGCCACCCTGAGCTCACTCACGGGATAGAGCGGAGTATAAATTGATGTTGATAATGATGATGATAAAGCAGCAGCCAGTAAAACCAGCAGTATGAAATCAGCATAAAAGTAGATACAAAAGGAAGCAGTAAAAAAAAAAAGTAGAGAGAAAGAGCAAGGAGAGAGAATTCTGTTCAAGGCCTTGGTAAACAAAATATTTTGGCCTGATACCCCACAGCTAACAATGTAGGTGCTAGCTACAGTCCCAGGGGAAAGGCATTCCATGGAAGGCCCCACCCCAGAGAAGGCCATGTCTTCAGTTGCTGCTTACCTCACTTCTGTGAGCAGGGGAACCTGGTGTAGTGCTTGAGAGGATCTTGATTGGTGAGCTAGACAATATGGGAAGAGGGGAAATGATGTGTGGAGGGGTGGAAACATCTTCAACCAGCACCAGCCTCTGTCCAAATTTTCCTCTCGCTTCCCCAGGCAGCTGCAGTTGACTTCAGAAACGGGGTGGGGGGGAAGAGTCCAGTCATGGATACACCATGGTCATGTCTAATTTAACCCAAAGTTATAACCAGTGTTAGGGCATAATTGGTGTTGAGAAGGTAAGGAAGCAGTTTAAGAGATCTGATCAGATCTGGGGGAGTTTGAGATACACAAAAGAGGGAACCGTGGAAGCAGTAGTACACTAAGCATCTGAAAGTCAGCATTTATACACTGGGGCGATTGATAAGGGTTCCTGCACCATTCCTCACAGTCACACTCAGTTATTGGGGATGAGACAGAAGAACAGTAAGTTCCCCTGAACGAGGCCCACCTGACTTTCTGGGGTCATTGGTCCTCCTAGTTTGCCTTGCTGTTACACCACCACCCAGTTCTCTCTCAGCTGGATCTGCTTGTCTCTTTCTTTTACGAGTGGTTCAAAGGCCTTTGCCACACACAACCCTTTCCTTAGCTCTAAATAGTACATTTGAGAGACAGCCCCTATTCTTAAAGGCACAGAGAAGTTGTTCAGAGTCCTGTAAATAATCACTTTCCCTGGTTGAATTTCTCTTTATTCTTAACAATTGTGAAAAGGGAATATTGTGACTCAAATGTGCCGGGTGGAAAGAACTGAAGCTGAGTAATGTATTTCCATCAGTTGGTTTTTTAAAAGTCCTAGTGGCCAAAAATAAAGAAGAGGTTTTAAAGACCTTTAACAAAGATTTCAAAATGTTTGAATTGTTTCATACAATTTATTTTTTCTGCTTATGTTTGTAATTCATTCACGGAGTGTCTTTATATTTATACAATCTCCTCCTGTGAGTTCTCATTTTTGATATATCACGTAGAGGTTCGCAACCCTAATGGCACACTGGCAGGGGATTTCGAGGGCATTCTGGGGGTGGGCAGGGACGTCTTGTGATGTGCTGACATCACCCAGAAGTGATGTCAGCATGTTGGCACCGTTGGGGGAAACGTTCTGCTTTATGGGCAAACTTTATGGTGAAAACAGCTTCCAACCATAGAGTTTTGCCCCAAAAGCGGAGCATCACCCCCCAACATCACTGATGCACTGATGCAACTTCCAGGTGATGTCAGCGTGTTGCATCGGCAGTGGGCAGGAGCTCATGAAAGCAAGGGATCCCTTGCCCCCACCTGGGGAATGGGAACCCTATATACCATAGATTCTTGGTGAAATCCCTCCCCAAATTCCTCCCTCCAAAGGCACCACCCCAAATCTCCAGGAAGTTCCCAGGCTGGAGTTGGCAGCTCTTGGAAGGATGCAAGGAACAGACCTCTCCACCCCTGGGTTGTGGGAGAGCACTGTCTGCAGTTGCAATTGCGGCATCCATTTCTTTCCCCCTCCAGGCCTGAAGCTCAGCAATAGAGTAGCCAGAGGATCGGGCAACATGTTCGTAGGCAGTTGCCCAAGGAGCAATGGACCTCAGTTGTTCAACGAATAACCGGGATTGTCTGTTAGAGCTACTCAGCTGGATTTATACCAAAAAGAAAGGTTGACAGACAAAATATATCAATGACCATTACCTTTTTTTTTTTTTGCCTTCTTTTAAAGAATTCCAACTTTATTCGGATCTACAAGGTGGTTTCAGTGTCAAACTTCACAGTGAAGGCATCAGACTTGCAACTCTCTGGCGTGTTCTTAAAGTCCCTCAACAGCCTGCCTCTGGAGTACAACTATGCCCTCTACAGCCGGATATTTGATGACTTCGGGACTCATTACTACACTTCTGGGTCATTGGGAGGGAAATATGATCTCCTGTATCAGTTTAATGAAGAGGAAACAAAAAGCTCAGGTTTGTCTATCTGTAACTACAGTAGATGCCTGACAGCTCTCAGTGACTAGAACCCCCCACATTCCGAGTATTTCTGTACCATGAAGTTGTGTAATCGGTTTTTGTTGTTGTTGTTGTTTTAGAAAAAACAGAGTTGAACTGGTCGAAAATAGGGCTATCAATTTTGATCGGCCGTGTCAATGGGCCTCCATATTTGGCTGCAGAATACTCCTATTGCTGGGAACAAGGGTTTGTTATTTCCATCATACCTCTCTTGGGAGCATCATACGAACCACCATTGTCACATATGCGCGAGGCTAGCCATGCCACCCTAAGCAGAGTTATGATGTTCGAGGTCCATTGACTGCAGTGAATTTAGAAGAGTGTTTATCTGCTTAGGGCTGCATAGTAAATGGACTGACCATAGGTCAGGTCTGACCCATCAGGACCATTTTATGAACTTATTTAAAAACATAAGAAAATTGGATTGGATAGACTTACCTTCCATTTCAGGACAAAACATGGTTGTTTATTTTTAAAACACTGGGTTCTTCTCTTCCTTCAAGGAACTCAGAGCCATATAGATCCAATCAGTGTCTCATCCAGTGTTATCCAGCACCCAAACCTACTTAGCTTGTGACCACACTCAGTGTCGTGAACAGTGATAAGCTTCAAAAGGAAGCGGAAAGAGAAATTCTCAGAATTCTAACTGGACAGTGCAGAAATGTCTTGGGTTGGAGAGCTGCTGAGAGGGTGAGAATAGGGTTACAAAATATTTGTGGTCCAGGGAAAGAAGTGAGTTGTCATGGGGAGGGGGGGAGCAGCAGGAACCTGTCCAACAGGAAAAAGGTGGTGAAAGGGGGCCTGTGGTTGCTCTCAGTGGCCCTGTTGGGAGGGGTTGTGGCTCAGTGATAGAGAACCAGAACAGCCATTTTTACATTATCTGACTTATGCATGGGTAAATTCAAGAGCTGTGGTTCCAGGAAAATTTATATGCCTGAAGAAGATTTGTTCGAAACACGCAGGTTATGCCCGGGAGGCGTGTTGCTAGGCTTGCTTGCTAGCTGTATCACCTCATGGGAAAATACATCTACTAGGCTTGCTTGCTAAGCTGAATCATCACAGTGAGAAATACAAGCTGCCTGCTAGCTTTACCTGATGGATCATCACTTGGGGAATGTACGATAGGTTGCCACATTGTTTGGTACACATTACTGTACATTGCTATCTATCCTCCATCAGGAAGAAAACAGTTTATACTGGAGTGGGTTTCTGAGATTATGGACTCTTCGTGTTATGTAATTTAGTTTGAAAGAGTCTGAAATGTTGATGTTGTAGTTTGAAAGTGTTTACAATACACTAGAGTCGATGTTGTGTATAAAAAGCAAATATATTTAGCTACAAGTACATGTGAATATTGTGTTTATTATTTCAACACGGTGTTTTCTGTGTTTATCTAACTTAGCCGTGTTCCCTGTGTGCTTGTTGTTGAGCCTCCAGGTGGCACCTGGAGAACTCCCGCTATCACAATTGATCTCCAGACTACCAAGATCAGGTCCCATGAAAAAAATGACTGCTTTAGAGGGTGGACTCTATGGTATTATACTCTGCTGAGATCCCTCCCCAAACCCCACCCTTCCCCAGGCTGCACCCCCAGAATCCCCAGGTATTTCCCAACACAGAGCGGGCAACCCTAGCATCTGTGTGTGAACTGAAATGAAATCTCCACCTAAAAGGATAAGGAAGTATATGATGTTAGAGACCTCCACCTGAGACCTTGGAGAGTTGCTGCCACTCAGAAAAGACATGGTCTGGCTAGGGAGACTATTTCCTGCCCTCTGTTTGTGTTTCCTGCTGCCACTCAGCTGTGTGGTGATAGAAACAGGCCTGGGAAAATAGCGCGGGGGGGGAGGGATCGATGTTGCCCTGATGTCATGAGGTCACTTCCTCACTTGAGTACAAATTATCATATATTATTTGAAGACATATAGTACAAACTAGTCAAGGAAACAAAACGTATTGCAGGTAAGTTTAAAGTCTCAGTAAATATGACTCCAAAGTTTCCAGTAGTAAATTTGAGGTAATCAGTCTCTTTTCCTCCAAGTCAAATGCAAAGACAAAGTTATTGTAGCAATTGCTATGATATGAAGTTTCAGTGATACCGTAGCAATTCCTGTGGTACACAGTTCCAATGATCCCAATGCACAAGCTGGCTAATGGAATATTAGTGGAATATATGACCGATGTTTACGGAAGTCTAAAAGAACTGTCTACGTCATAATCTGTCCAACTAGACTGCTGTATGTAGAAAGTACAATTAGGTCTATAAAATCTAGAATTTTAGAGTATTGATCATGTATATGAAATAAAATCATGGAGGAACAGTGGGACATTTTATTCAATGCAGTCATGATGCTGATTCTTTAAGGGTTTTTTGTTATTTATAAATATGTTTTTATAAAATTTATAATATTATATTTTATAAAATTAGTAAAATCTTGCTTCAACAGGAAGGAAAATGGACCTTTAAATTTATTTATTTATTTATTTATTATTTTTGCTTTATATCCCGCCTTGCCTGCACAGGCAGGCTGGGCAGCGTATAACAAGTTAAAAAACAATAAAACACAGTACATAAATGCAATACGATAAAATTCCACATAAAACAATATACAAATAAAGTACAGATCAATATAGATGGCAATTGCTGTACAGTGATCCGGTGAAACCAGGCCAGCATCCATAGTTGTTCTTAGTGCTCATTCATTAGTGGCGGGTCG